TTAAAACAAAATTATATCTATCCTTTCTCTACTCCATTCTTACATTCGTCTTATGTTTTGACTGATGTACTTGTCAAGTTGTGCCATATAAAGCCATAGAGTTAGTCTATAATAATTAAATAGCGAAGAAATCTAGACTTCTTATTTCTAGTAAAATTATAATCTGATACAAACTTTTGAACTAATTGATGCAATATTCATTTTCAGATGTCTGACAAGAATGAACAAATATAAACACACTATAAGTTTACTTGTTTTTCTTTCTCTTCTATTTTATTATTCAATTTACAGTAGGAAAAACTTAACAACAAAAATGATCTCTCTTTTCATACAAGATATATATTCTGAACGGCATAGTCTACATCTGTTTTGATCTGAACACAGTTAGAGAAAAAAATCAACAAAAATTTACAATTTATGACATCAAGCAAACGGCATGTACGAAAAGAGTTATTTTCCTCTTTGCTAGATTTCTAGTGTAAAAAAAATTATTGTTTATCCCAGTCAAATATCTGAAAATTAGCCTTTATTATACTTCATTAGTCTTACTTCTTCTATTGCTACATACCTGCTAGTTTTACGACATACCCTTTTAGAGATGTTTACGTCAGATCTTATTTCTAACAGTCTGATGACCAGTAGTTGTAACAAAAAATGAAAGATCTTTTACGTTAGAGATTTCCGACCAGCTAACTATTGACATTTCATTTTTTTTTGACTTAATTTCATATTTTCCCCTTAATGCTTTTCAATATAAAATTCTTGTCTTAAAATAATTATTTATACTCTCTTTTAATTTTTCATGTTAATGTTTCTCATGTCGGATGTTATAAGAGAATGAAAGTAGCATTACTGAATGTTGACTAAATAAATAACTTAGAAGAAAAGATAGTACTTTTATGTAGAAAATCGAAACAGATTTTTTACACTTATATTACGTACGTCATATATTTATTAGTAGAGATGATCTTAAAATTTAGTCTACTATAGGAGAAAACGAATGATGGCTAAATACAATATTTTTCAATGGTACTTAATTATATTATTAATAAATTGTTTTTGTTTTATCTTTCTGTCTCTCTCTATATATAAGACATGAGATCTGTGAAAAGACAAAAAAATAAAAAAACAACATTTCGGTTTGAACGAATAAGTTAAGTGAGTATATATGTATTGTGTATAGATCTTTACACATTTACAAACAATTTGCATATTCGGACTAATAATAATAATAAGTAATATTAGACGAAATCAGGTTCTATTTTTCCTTTTCTTTTCTCTATAGTTTTTTTCGGAATCATTTATCTGTCCTTAGCTGTTTGACAATGGTTCGTCTCATCTCTTAGAGATGATATCAACATGGTCGCAAAAAATAAAAAAAGAAAAGAAAGAAAAATAGAGAGACTCATGCATAATTGTTGACTGATTGATATCATCATCATCAAATAATTCCATCATCATAATCAAAAGTTAAACAAAATTGGAACGATAAGTTGATGACGGAACTTTTCATTTTTTTATTTTCATTATCAAAATACCTTCCGATCATGAATTTGATAATTATTTAAGAAAAAAAACAAACAAAACGAAATAAACATATAAAAAAATGTACAAATTTTAAGTGAGTTTATCTATATTTTTTTCTCTTTCCATTGTTTGATGTTATTTCGTTTTTTATTGAGTAGATTGTTAAGCTATGTACATATATATTGAACTCAGAAAGAAAAATGCTTTTTAAAAAATTTAATTTGGATAGTTTTAGTTATCTCACCAGAACTGTAGTTCTCTTTTCTATTTGCTTGTTCCCCTTAGTACATCTGTTATTTACCTTTTAAACGACAAATCTGTTCGTTTTTTGGGAGGTAAAAAGAAACAGTTAAACATTTATGTCTGTTAAGCTTCCTTGCTGAATGTACACCTCGGTTGTTTTTTTTCTTGTGTATATTTGTATATTTGATCTAAGACCATTGTCCATGACGAATTTCTTAAATACTTATTGTTAATACACTTTGTATGTATTTTTCTTTTGTAAAAAGAAGACTTATGACACAAATAATACACAGAATTGTGGCAACAGTAATAAATATTACTTAATTAATTTTTCGAAAAAAGTATGTTTTCTATAGAGTTCAAAACCGCAAATTTTTCCCTTAAGGTTTCTTTTAATCTATAATACTTGAAAATATAAACTAAATCATTTTTTTTAAATAAATAACTGAAAGAAAAATCTGATAAAAAAGATTATAAAGAATTCATTCACTGCATGCACATCACTTATCACATTCATTTATGATTTGATCAGCATGTCAGTTTGAAAAAGATTTTAATAAAAAGTGCTTTCATAAATTTCATAGTATGCACGCAGACAAGTCATTTTATGTTCAATTTCATTTATTTGTAAGTGTCTCGTATAAATAACACAGACGACGAATTACCCATATGAAAACAGAAAGATAATTTTCACGCTTCACTTCGATCTTTCTTTTTATATATATAAACGAACGATCTGTTTTATTGATTGATTTAATTTTTTCCGTCAAAGATATCATCGTTGACTGAATGTGACTTTATATTTGTGTCTGTAATCATTTTTACGATTAAAAAAAAAGAAAATGTCTGTTTTTTTAAACTGTTTTCTTCTTGCTGTTTTTACTCCCAGAACTATTACAAATTGAAAGGAAAGGGGAAACGACAATTTATGGTGTGTTTCATACAGTTATATATGACGCATATTTATAGTATTTTTTGTGTATTAGACAAAATGAAGAGAAATTTGAACCTACTTTTTCAACTGTGCTTGTTTACGTTTTACTTTGCAAAATGAGATCAATATTATTGAGTAGAAAAGTATCTGTCTGTAAGACACCTACAATCAAATGATAGTCGCTGTTATTGGTAATTTCGATTCTTCGTCAACGAACAATATAGAAAATGAGCATAAGCTTTTTCAAAATTAAACTCAATCTATTCAGACTTGATTATTAACAAAAAGTTATCATAGAAAAAGATAGAAATGCAAAAAATTGAGGATTTTTACCGTTTTTCTTTTCTTTTCATGTCGTTTCTGTTCGAGTTTTGAGTCTAGAAAAACACGAACATGAAAATAACCAGAGTGGATATATATAAGTATTAGCATCATAATAGAAAAGTTAACATGAAAAGGAGCAGAATGAATCGAAAGTCTCCTTTTTCTTTCCAAGCATCGATTGCAGCATTATTTCGTTCCAATTATTGACTTCCGATGATTTTGAACCGCAATAGTAGTGAAGTATGGAAATAAAAGAAAGTTTCTAGAAAAATGATGAAGAATTCAGAAATGTCATCCATGAACAAAGTAATAGATCATACAGTTTTTCATTTTCTTACAGATATTATTCATTCTTGTAAACTACATCTTATTCAAATTCATTTTTTTGTTCACTACTAAATAGTTGAAAGAGTGACAATCACACAGATTAAAATAAAAATTCTCTCAACTATTCTTTTACCTGGAAGAGTGTATAAGATATAATAGTATGTATGTTTCTTTATAGGATTCTATAGCTAACATAACAATGTCTTGATAACCGTATATACATCCTATATAGTTTTATCATAGTAGGAGTTATAGGAATATTTTAATTAAAAATTGTATTCGATGTGCGTTTGTGTGTGGTTATTATCTGTCAAAACATCATGATCTATATGTTCTCATTGATATTTGCTTATGTTATAAAAAAAGAGAAAATTGGTTGGAAAAAAATGGGACAAAAGAAAAATAGAGAAAATGTATAAACGTACATAATGATATATAGAAAGAGATCAAATATTATAGAGAAAATAATGAAGTCCTCTTGTTTTCTCGTTGAGTAAGTGTCATTAGTTGTTTAATTGATCGAAGCAAAGGTGTGTCATTTGTTATCCGTCATAGAAAGAAAAGAAAATAAATCTCATTTTGTAATGATGAAGGAGTATGTTTGAATGAGTGAGCTCCTACAATTTAACCTTATGCAACTAACTAGTTTGTGGACTACAGAATTATGTTCCATTCGTTTTGTTAGCAACAAAACATACAAATCTAATAAATTAAACTTCGCCGTTTTTTGTATAACTTATAACATTCATTGATCTTAATAGTAATTATGATTCTTTATCTAATAAATAGAAATTGAATGCTGATTTATTTAGGTACACACTTATTCCTGATCCATCATGCACATGTGGAGAGGATGAATCACAAAATCATTTTTTTGCTGATCTGTAGGAAATACCAAAAGCTCGAAAGAAACTGATAAGTACTATTAATTTCATTTTGGACACACAAATTATTCTCTCTCTTCACTTTCTACTCTTCGATTTTAGGAGCTTGTCTATTGAATTTGAAAAAAGTAAAAGTATTTATAAGGCTATCGTTGATTTCATTAGAGAGTCTAATCCCTTTGCAGCATAATTAATGTTACTTCTCTTACGTAAAAATTCTTTATATCTACACTCACACAGTCGCTGCAGAAAATCCTCCTCATCTCTTTCTCGTCTCTGTAATCTATACTGCTTTAATCTGTTAAAATTTTACCATTTTCTTTTTTTATTTATCTAATTTTTTTTTCTTTGTTGTCTCTTTCTCTTTCCCAGTGTCACGCAATGGGCACAGCCCGATTTGATTACTGTTTCTTCTATATTAAAGTTTAAATCAAAAGAATTCCGTTGTATGAAACTGTTCACTATAGAATACGAGGCCATTAGTTAACTTTATGAAGGACCAGTACAAAAGTTGAAAAATACGATTTTAGTATCAACGATTATACGCCTTTATCATATGTTGCTTTTTATTTAGAAATGCCATTAAATTACGCAGACGTGCGGTAAACAGCATGATTGTTTTAGTCTATTTGTTATAGAAGTAGAAATCTCATCAATTACCATTCGTAATAGCATATACTTCGATGAAATCGCTCTATGCTCATACAATTTTATTACTTAATGGTGTTTAATTGTTACTGTGTCGTACCATCAGACGTACTATGCACTCACCTATAACCCTGGCACCATCATCGGCTTCATCATCACCCGTTACAAATTATCACAAATTCCATCGTAGCGGTGCTAGTCATCACCAACAGTCAGATTTAAAAGAATTAACCCATGTTTTATCAGAATTAAATACGAATTTTAAACGAAATGTCAAAGTATTACAAGATTTAAAAGATTTTATTGTCAAAGTATGTGAAAAACAAGAAACAAGACCGGTCGATGATAATAGCGGAATACACAAATTAGAACAAGTAAGTTATTTGTCATAGAGAAAAACAATTTATCAGGCTTTTCCAAGACGTAGAGATTGATGATCTCTTCAATTTAATATTCGATGTTGAGGGACATATTATAGAGTTCGATTGCTTAGAATCTAATAGGTGTTTTTTTAACATTAAGTCTTAAAAATTTCTTCAATGTTTTACTAGAGCTTCTTCAAGTATTTTCGTTAAAACCATAATATATCAAAAGTTTTTATCTGAATGAAAAGTATTCAATTCGATTCAACATATGAAATAAACTAGAAAACATTAAACTTTTCATTCTGCATCTAAATTATGATCTTTTTTTCTTAAAGACACATCATCAAAAGTCTCAAACTAGTACTACTTTTTGTGTGAACCAGGGCTGGGCAACTCCAACTACGGAGTTGAAGATTCTTTTGGTGGAGTTGGAGTTGGACTTTTGAATTTTTATTCTCAACTTTGTTTTACATTTTTGGAAATATTCAATAGTTGTAAACTGATCTTCTAAACGATTGAGTGGCTGTATTCACGAGTGAATTCGGAAGTTCTTTGCGCTTTCCTGCCGGAAAAAGCTCAAAAACGTCCAGAATCCTGCTAAAAACCAAAAAATCCTTACAAAAGTGAAGCAACTGGAGTTAAACGGAAGTTGAGATTTTTGTTGAGAGAATTGGAGTTGAAGTTCAAAAATTCTGAGCGGAGTTTGGAATTGGAGTTGGAAATTTGAAAACGGAGTTGGAGTTGAGTTGCCCAGCCATTTGAGGATGGCTCGTGTCATTTATTAAATATTAAGCGTCCCATTCAGAGAAAAAGTTTTCTGTTTCCGAGTCGATTTGATTAAGTTTCCAGTAACCGTTGATCATATCAAATAATACTTGAAAAGAATGTACATATTGTCTTAAAATCTTCATCGTCTTATTATCGAAACATCTGTCAAATTTAAACGGATCTGCTATATATGGACAGTTTTGCATAGCTAAAAGGTTAAAAATGATAAGATAATTTCAAATCATAGATACGACTTATATTCACCGGCTGCCAGAATAAATTATTTTCATATGTAGATATTCATGTTCGGAATCTTTTCAAAAGGCAAGACAGATGTGTAGATTATTTTTTCAGAATTTGGTCAAGAGATGTGATACAACATATTCAATTTATATATGGTTTGAAAGCATCCGTTATGCCTGATCTGACAAGACACATTGCATATACGAACATGTGCATTAGGCTTAATATACAAATACAATTTGAGTTTAGAAAATGTTACACTGTCCGTTTCTTTTGAAACTATTGAGAAATGATTACTATCAGTTTGTGTCTCGGTTAAGTATGATACTTTTATCCATTGTTTCGTTCACTTGACGCTAGTGCCATATTGAAGAAGACAGAGTACACGGTGTGTTCATAAAAGACCGTAAGGAAAGCATAAAAAAACCTTCAGAAACCTTTTATCCATAGATTTATTTTATATTCATAAAGTACACACAAGTCTGAGTGATAAAAACTCGATTTGTCTCTCTAAAAGGTTTCGATATTTTACATCGAGACAAAAAAAGATTAATATAAGAATACAGTCGTAAGCTAGGAACGTTTTGATCACAACGTAGAACAATGGAGAAGCAGACAATCTATCCAAATATACTGAATCTGAAAATCATTTTTCCGAAAATCGATAAGAGTTTCGTATGTTTTACTGACGTTACTACATTAACTCATTGGCAGCGATGTGACCCACCGGTGAGTCACGGTAATACTTGATTATTATACAAAGCTGAAATGTATCTAACTCTGCCATTTTTTGAATAACTCGAGAATGGAAAGGGATAGCGACTACCGGTTTTCACCACCCGATAGCCAAGACTTCTAGAATTTTTACTTACAATCGCTACATACATAGATACATTTATTTCAAAAGTGATCCTCGATCGTGAATAATCTGTCTTTCGGTAACCATTAGGAGCCAGCAAAGAAAATTCATAGTGTATATAGAGGTGAGTCAGAGCTACATTTTAGTAAAAAGAAAAAATTTTCATGCCTCTTGAGTTAAGAGTTAATAGCATTTTACGGAAAAAAAATGAAACGCTTATATATCATGAACTGTCCAGTAAAAGAGGCTTAAACTTGCTGGGTGATCGGTATCCAGTGAGTGCTCCATTTTCGTACCCGTGCCCGACGCGAAAATTTTTTTTCCACCCGTACCCGATCCGACCCGACAACTTTGTACCCGTACCCGATCCGAGAACTGTGTACCCGTACCCGACCCGTAATCGACTTATACCTAAAAATTTTCTTCTTTTGATTTTCTAGCTAAAAACTTTTGTTTTTCGGCTGAAGCTGTCAAATTATCATTACGTTCTCAAGTAATTCTTTTTTAAACCTTCATGTACGTTAGCTAAATTCCTGTATTTTTTCACTAAAATTTTGTGGGTTTTTCACCAGAACTTTTCGGTTTTCGGGTAAATTAAAAAAAAGAACCCGTACTCGTAACTGCCCTCCCCGTACCCGACAACTTCGTACCCGTACCCAACCTTCGGGTCGGGTCGGATAGGGTTGCACATCTCTATTTTGAAGAGTACTGTAGGCTACCGGTGACCTATATCGCCACCAATGTGTTAAGCACAGTGTGAAATATTGTTACTTAGAAGTTTCAGACATCTTAAATATGGATAGTCCTTTTCTTACACAAATTGCAACACCAATGAATTTTCTTAAAACGGTTCTAAAAATATGATTTTTTTTTCAATTTTGAAAAATTCAAAGTAACAATTTTCGTATAACCAACAGTAAATCGCACTTCTATTCATTTACTACTCGTTTTTGTTTAAAAAATTGATCAGAAGTATCTCGAGATATCCTTATGCAACTCAGTTAGCCAGTAACACTTCATTTAGTGCGCTTTCGTTCATAAATTAGAACTATGATATTTTTCTTAAAAGAGCTAAGAAAAAAATCGATTAAATACTTCTACGACTAGAGTATTAATACAAAGAGATGTACTTGTTTGGAACATTTGTTGTTCAAGAAGGAAATACCATAACTAAAGGGTGACCGAGAGCGATGATTTATGTTTCCTGGGTTATTTTGTATGATGAATCAAACTGGATATTTATGATTCAAATTTTTTGACATGTTGTATGATTCCTTACTATACTAACCCAGTTCCGCTTAAAAATGATTTTATGAAGGATGACGGGGCAGAGAATATCAGATCAACGTTTGATACATGTTGGTTTAGTTATTTCTCACATTAAGCAATCACTCTGAATTGAAATAAGATATTTTTAAGAACAGTATAAATATTTGCTTTAACAATAGAAAAAAGAAATCGTTTTAATTTCGAATTTCTAATGGCTACCTAGATGTGAACTTGTAGTGTCTGTAAAACGTTTTTGGCTAGTTAATAAGTATCTATTTAATAAATAAATCCATTCATTAACCATAATATGGTTTTTGATAACGAATAGGTGGTATTCCGTAGGCAGGTGGTGGTGGTGCTTGTGAGAATCCTTGTACTTGTTCGTATGGTGCTGCAAATTTTTGTCGTTGACAACATCCACTTGCAATTGTTGATAGAATAGCTAATATTGATGATAGAATAAAACTAAGTGCACCTGTAACAAATAAAAGAGCATTGAGAACAACTTCATTATTTTCCTGATATGTCCGTTTATTTGGATTTGTTCGACCTTGAAATATATATCGTTGAAAATATAATATTGAACTTAACATGAGAAATAATGAGAGAAGAGCAGTGATAAATGAGACAATTGTTAAAACATAAAGTGTAATTAATGTTTTTTCACGATGTGTAACAAATGTAAGAATTCCACAAGCCATCATTAATAATCCAACCCAAATACCTTTTCCAAATGTTGGCCATATACTTTGTTCAGACCATAATGTTGGTACTGTATCAATTACAGTTTGATTCGATGTTACAAATAAAACATTTCTAACACCACTTCCTGTAACAGAACGATTACTAATATCGATTGCACTCAAAATAATACTAGCTGTACCAAGAAGTATTAATAAAATACCAAATGGAATAACGAATGATGTTGAACGTTGAGATAATTTTGTACCGTAATAATTGTTCATTTTTTTTTTTTTGGAAATAAGAGTAGACAGAGGACAGTTACCTTTTTATATTTTGAAAAATGTGATGATACATAGTTCAACAATACATAAACATCGAGTCAGTCGTCTAACGTTTCGCTTGAATGAATACAGTTATAGATCAATGAACAACACATGTGGATTGGTTGAACTCTCTTGTACTACAAGAATTTTTTATCTCTTTTTATTCTGGATTTTGTCGAATACTTATACACTTACTACCCCTTCGAATAAAAAAAAAGAAATTTCGATAGAAGAGTATTTAATGACTCTCAATTTTAATAGGACTTGGTATAGAATGAAATCAATATTGTAAAATTGAATAAAGAAGATAAAGACCTATGGGGAAAAGAGTAATATAAGTATATAAGCATATGTATCGAAGAATACAAATGTAACCTGTCTAAGAGTTTCGTACCTTGTGAATAGTAACAAATATTTTTTTGATATATTCAGTAAAGTACAAAAGACCTTTTCTTCTATTATCCAGGTAACTGTCGAAGTTCGATTAGTATTTTTGAAAATTGGTGAGATCGATACATTAAAAGAACAATTTCAAGCCGAAGCATTTATTCAAGCAAAATGGCATGAACCAAGTTTAAAAGGAACGGTAGGTACAAATGACTATAGATGTATACACAGAATATCATATTCAAGAAAGAAATTATTTCTTTTACTAATATGATCAGGAAAGTAGAGGAATCACATGTGGAATCGAAAATATAGTCAGTCCATTTTCCTGAATTATCCGGTTTCTGATTTTAAAAAAAAATCCTGTTAAATGTCACCTATCTACGTTAGTTTTATTTATTGTTAAGTCATTTTATTCAACTTTTACGCTTTTTCGAATGAGCTCAAATGTTTCTCAAAATATCAACTAAAAATGATGTTACAATACTTGTAGTCTTGAAAATGTTGCCCTTTTAAGAAACAAGTAGGCATGTTTTTATTAAAGATTCTAATGTGTAAAACGAACTTGGTATTTCTGAATCTGTATGAAGGAAGAATCGAATGGAAGTGGAAAAAAATAATTCTAATCATATTCGGACGTTTTGTCAGTAACTAAGAAAATTGTCTGTGAAACTGTTTGTCTTCCGCGAGGAAAATAAAATCGGTTTATTTGATGTTGTTATTGTAAGGATTTTGATAATTTTGATCCAACGAAATACTGGAATCCATTATTATTTATCGAGAACGTAGTGGGTGATTTAAGAAATGATGTCTGGCATAAAATTGTTTGTGATGGAACAGAAACACCAATGATTTATGAAATGAGAAAAGTTAAAGGTGTTTTTCTAGAAAATTTAGAACTCAATGATTTTCCGGTTGATGTACAGGCACGTAACATCACATCTTACCATGTTTTATGATATTTATAACAGTGAAATATTTCTTCTAGGATTTGACTATTACCTTAACAACAACACGGACAGTGAATGAAGTGCAACTAATAGACGACAGTGTTCAACTAAGTGCGATAAATACACGTAAGTTTTTTATCATACACCTCTAGTCACTTGACTATGTAGTAAAACTAATTTAGATGCTTTTATTGATCAGCAAGAATGGAGACTACATGAACACGTTGAAACATCCACAAAATTATTAACAAGTCCATTTACACCTTCACAAAATCAACATCCAGGATTTTCCGCTACATGTATGTTTATTGGGTGATAGTGATCATTATTAATAATGAAAAATATATTTTTTATTGTAATTCAAAGGTCGTGCAGCAAGGAGACCAGGTTACTTTTACTGGAACGTTTACTTTCTTATTGTGAGTGTCACAAAGTTGTCGAGAGAATTTATTTAACTATGGTAAGCTCATTTTGTATTTTAGTTTTTTATAACTGTGATGGCATTTGCAACATTTTCCGTAACCTACAATTTACCTCAGAATCGTTTACAATTGAGCTTTACTCTACTGTTAACAGCAGTCACTTTCAAATGGGTTGTTGTAAGATGTTTACCAACAATTTCTTATTTGACCACTCTTGTAAGCGACACACTTCTTACTATAAACAAAGAAATCGAACTACTTTCTTTAAACACTAGGATAAATATGTTCTTGTGTCAATGGTACTACTATGTGTTGTATGTGCGTGGCACGCAATCATAGCGGTTGTACCATCGAAAATGGCGCCATTATGGGACGCATGGGCATTAATCATATTAGCTGTTTTATATACTCTATTTCATATCATATTCTTATTATGGATGTACCTAGTGGTAAGACATAATACTAATGATAAATCTTGACAATTGTAAGATACACCGGACTTTGAATTTGTAGACATATAGAAGAAGAAGACTAATGAAACGAAAAGACAAAGATTATTTGGTATGTAATCGTCTGAAATCACTTACTTATCTTTTCTCTCATGATTCATTGTTTTTCTTACACTCCGAGTATAATAGAAAATATTATGCTGGAGTATTAGATCAGCTTTTACTCATTTTATTTGAATGATTTATTAGTATTTATTATTTAAATAAATTCTAATACTTCTCGTCATATAAAAAGTAGTAAAAGTTATACAGAAAAAAAAAGATATTCTCTTTATATGTTTGCAGTTATTATTTGATGCACAAGAACATGTAAGCAATGGCACACGATGCTTTTTCCAAATGACTCTCTTTAATTCAAGAATGTATGATGTAAAAAACAGCATGAATATGGATAATGATAATAAACGCGCATTTTCTTTTAGTTGAATTTTGGCAAATTAGAATGATATTAACGAGGAAAGCCTCTCAGATGATAAATCGCTTTTTCCATGAAAAGCAGTTTTTTCGGTGGCGTTTCATCGAATCCCCTCTTTTTTTACAGGGCTTTCGCACCAGTTTACAGGGCCTTGATAACACTATTAATAGGGTCATATCCTCTCCATGAGATAGTCAGGCTAAAATTACTAACAGGGCTTTCGTAAAGATAATGCAAGGAATTAATCTCTAGTTGATGCTCTGACAGGGCTTTCGTAACGAATGCTGCTTCTTATTGTAAATGAAAGAGAAAACAGATAGAAACAGTGAGAGTGAATGAGTACAACCACACATTATTTCAACTTGAAAAGTAAATATACACCCATGCAGATGAAAAAAGTAGTTCGAGGGGTGCGGCGGGTACTCGAAAGATAGGGCTAGATCACTCAGAAAATAGCACTTCGGATCCTCGATATAAGTTTTCGTAAGGTATCGATTTCGAGCCCTCGGATTTCCGATAAGTAGCGAGCCCTCGAGTAAAATTTCGAGCTGTCGAATAGAGATGTTCGGGATTTTTTAGCCCTCACTCTCTCGAGGTGCGATGAGGGCTCGGAAGTCCCCGGAATCCGATGAGGACTCGGAAATACCCCTCAAAAGCTTATATCGAGGGTCCGAAGTGCTATTTTCTGAGAGTTCGAGCCTTCGGCAAAGGCCCAGCGAAAGCATATTTCCGAGCACTCGAAGTACCCCTCGAACAACTGGTTGGGCATTTCATCACAAAAGCTCTGTAAAAGACTGTTACGAAAGTCCTGTTAGAGGACATTAATCATCAGCTATTTTACCGTAAAAAGTACACACAGACTTCGTTACGAAAGCCCCTTAAAGAGTGTTACGGAAGCTCGGTCACAGTATCTACCTAGACATTAATCCCTTTGCATTATCTTTATGAAAGCCCTGTTTTTTTTAATTTATGTCTTTTTACCGTGTTACGAAAGCCTTACCTTTTATCGGACTTTCGTAATGGTAGGGGATTCGATGAAACCTGACCGTTTTTTCATGGTATATTTTTTATGCTAATGATGAATTTAATGTTCGCTATCGATGCTAGACTGCCCAAGTACCGTCCTGTATAAACTATTTTTGTACAAAACGGTACAATTCGAGAATTCAGTTCCCGTCCTGTTATTGGGTAACAGTCTACCTCTTACTTTGTCCCGCGTGTGTAATATTAACATAGTAACGTTCGAAGATTGTTTCCATTATTTTATGCTTGAAATTCGGTTTTATGCTTTGATATTTTAATACGAACATAATCATGATATTCTTAAAGAATATAGATTTTGTCGAAAGATTAATTCACGTGTTATTCATACTTACATAACTTTAAATTAGCTTTTTTCTCTTCTCATAGCGCCATCGGATGCAACGTGTCTCTTCATTTGGTCCTCCAACTGCTGATGGTCATTATGTCGGTGCATCAGCTGCCAACACTGTATTTCGAATGAAAGATGCGCCTGTTACGAGCGGTGGTTCAATACCTTCAACGTCATCCGATTATCAACAACCAATAATACAACAAAATCATAAAGTATTGACTAATCCATATGCTTCGAATCGTTTATCATCGAGAAAAGTTAGTGTAGCCCATCATCCTGTTGAGGATATGGCACAAATTACTGTTCCACCACATCAGCTATCATCGTCGTTGAAACAAAAACCGTCCGCTTATAATGAAGGAAAACAATTATTAACATCATCCGATATCGAAGCAATGAATTTGAGACAATTTCGAATGAGTTCAATTACATCTTAATTATTACCGGTGCTATATATCTATTTCATAAGTTCTAACCAATGGTGATATGTCATTTTAGTCATGTTTTTTTTCTACAGTGATATCTGTATGTGTGTACGAGTGTTCTGTACTTTTTCTTAATACTATTTTTCCGTATTTTTCTATTCTCTAAAAATTAAGATCATATTGAAAAATCTGAGCGAATATATTGAGTACAAAACAAATATAGATCACCATCAGCTGTAATCTTACAGAAACTGACAGTTTACAGACAGTCATGATGAGAGAGAGATTAATCAAACGCCAAATATTTTGTGTCAGTTTTTCTAACGAAAAATATGGAGTATATCACAATTTTTGTTAGATATTCAACTCATCACGTTATATCAACGTACATTCCCGATTCTAAAATCCCGCACTATACAGTGATGATTGCGTGCACTATACGCACGCATTATAAAATCATCATTATATTAAAAGAAATATTCATTAGGCAACACCATTGTCCTAGATAAACAAATCGTGTGTCTTCCGTAAGCCATAACGTATACTCAGTAATTTTCTAAAAATCTTTTTTTGTTTATTTATTCGTGCCGTACATTTTAGTAAATTTTTCTTTATTGCTATCATCAATCAGAAGTGAGAATTTCACAAGATGATGATGATTAGTCTAGTGAGAATAAAATAACAATAGTATTATATGAACACTAGAAACGATGAAAAGATTTTGGAAAGAAGATCTGTTCCATCATAGAATCAAGAGTCAACTTGATTCTATGATGGTAAAAAGGTTCACTTTTGTCAATGTTTATTTTCTTATGATTTTTCTGTATTAAACTCGTTGGCACTTCTAAAAGTCGAAACGATGACATCGCCCATGATATACTTTCAAATATAACTTTTCTTCTTAAATGACGAGCAATGATAATCTGATTTTGAATTTTGAATTCCACATTACATTCTTTGCAACAAAATTTTAGTTATATCTCCTTATTGGAAATGTACTTTTCTGAAATTATATACAAATTTGAAAGTTTCTTCAGAGTGTTAAAGCAAAAGCGGATACAACGCAATACCTAAAAAAATGAATAGTCATACAATTTGAATTCATTTTTTTTCACATAAAACGAATAGATTTATATACATTACACCATTGCATACTTACATTGAGAGATTTTCCCATCTAAAATAAACAGTAAACAATATTTAATTAGAAATTTTTTCCAAATTTCATTTGTGTATCTACCTGATTATACATGAACCATCAATAGGAAATTGCCATAAACACGCATTACTCATATGAACATTTTTGCCTTTTTTCGGTACAATAATGCATGTGACAATCATTTTAAAATCTTTTTGTGATTGGTACAATTGTTCTTGACACATCTTCACAATTTCCATACTCCAGTTTTCTGTTTTTTCATCATCATAGTCATTTGAATGTAAAATATCCTCGATCGATTTTCGAATAATATCAGCAGCATTCGTTAATTCAAAACATTCGATATGATGTTTATGTCGATAACAAGGGCCAAGTTCGTCACTATCACGTTTTTTTACTATCATAGTATTAACTGACATTTTTTAACAGAAAAATGTTTCAATAAACGACGTTGTTTATACGTTAAATAATATATTTAAAAATGAATGAAAGGAGAAAACGTACCTAATTTATCGTAAGGCGCTATTTTTCGTTCTGTTAAAATTCGCCTTGTTGTTTGATGAACTAACACAAATTCTATGTAATGATTAGTAAAGGTGGTAGATTTTGTTAAACACTTACTACATAGTTTAAATTTTGCTGCATAGTCCACTAAATGACTGTGTGGTGCTGTTCCAATTAGCAAAGAGGAACATTTAATTTATTTAACTGATAATCATTCTTCTGAAATATCTAAAGGGAAGTCTTAATAAACATGAAGTAGTATGAGATAGTATTTATTCTATAACGCTCATGAGCAGAGGATTTTAGTACTTTAAGTCAGGATAAAGTTATAAAAGTAAACTCACAAGAAACATTATCGACGTACCTTCGATAACTCTAGATCGATATAAACATTGGTGATACCACTTAATAGACAAGCACCATTGAATATTGAGAATCATAGGTTTTTAGAATTTTAGATAAAGTTTTAAAAATTCAAACTGTCGGAGTTTTCGTTTATAAAGTTGAAAAAATCCAGCATTCAGTCTTTTGAACGTGTATATACTCAGACATAACTTATAGATTTTGATATTGATCCTCACAATCTTTTAAATTGTAACAGATTTTAGATATTCAGAGCTCTACACTTTCAAACGTTTAAATATTCAAAATTTAAAATTTTCCAATATTGAGAGTTTTACACTTTTCGATATCTACGCTTTTCGACCTATAGATAGTCAATTTTCGTCACACTGTCTACAATCAGAGGTTGAATGGATGATGGTTAGTCTATAGAATAAAAAATTATATTATTCGACAGTCGAATGCAACCTATTCTGTTTCAAATTGGAGACGAATAAGAAAGAGATAAAACGCAAAACAATCAGATACATTTTTGTTTCTACTTTCCTTTCAAGACACGAACGACAGAGCAATCTTTTTACCCTGTCTCGCCATTCTACCTCTGACCGTCCACAGTGTGACGAAAATTGACTATCTATAGATCGAAAAGCGACAGGGTAAAAAGAGCTCGAGGCCAGGCTAAGCTTTTAGTAAAATCGACAATCTAAAAACGCACAAGATACAAAGTTTGTCACAGGCATTTCTCTATCAACGCTTCGTCTGATCAATATAGTTCCTTGGAACTTTATGTTTGTTATAGTATGTAGATGTTCTCTTTCTGCAGATGAAATTTTATCTGAGCGATAGTTCGGGAGTTATATCGTAAATATTGCTTTTTTCCAGCATGCGATTCTGAATAGACGATGCGCGTTATGGTATGTGAGTCACGATTAAGTGTATTGTATACGCCAAAGGACAAGTGTCTATGTGTATGTAATTAAACTTGTCTTTATTAATAATACTGTACATAATAAAATAAAGTGTTATTCGGTTATAATATAAGCAGATTTAATGGAATTTTAAGTGAACAACACTGTCGTTGAATTCTTATTTTGTAAAATTGTACACTGAATATTATTAATGACTAGTAAAGTTATTATAAAAACGTTTACAGTACAGAGACACAGAACGTTTTACACGCTTCACAATTCAAAACAAAAATATCGATACTTTAAACATTCTTTATATTTCAGGAGAGCGTAATATCAATCTTCTAAGTGAATCTTAGTAAAGTACCGGTAATCCAGAAATGTAACTTTTTTGCCCTTTTTTTGACATGATTGGTTAAATCTCATCGACTTGTGTAGAAAAATGTCAATTTAACCCTTTTGCAATGATTAGTGTTCATGAAAAACTTGAAAATATGTCAGTTGCAAAATTAGCACAAGTTCAATATGATCAATTGCCATACACCGTTGAGCTTACAAAACGGACGTTGAAACTCTAAAGAGTTTTGAAGGGCTTTCTAGAAAACTCGATCCACGAAATGGAAACATTCTGCACGTCTACTGATAGACGTCAATTGCTCATGCTCCAAATTGCTCATGGTGAAAATTTGAACGAGTTTGGTTTAGTTTTGAAGGCGCTGAAGCTAAAAAGACTCTAGAACCTTCAAAACTAAATCATTAAGCTCACAATGAGAAAGCTCGATCTTAAGAAAGGGTTGTCTACAGATCCTCTAAAAACCGTTCAAAGATCTCGATTCTATTTTTGTTAAAACTCACGTTGTTTGTCACTTGTATCTCTAATTTTGATCGAAATTTCGTTGAATTTTCATCTATAGAAAACTAACTAGTCTCCTTCAGTTTACGAAATCCTCTAGTTCTGAGAAAAACGAATTTTTTCAGCAATATAGAAAAGAAACCCGTCATAGGAATGACGGATAGAATGAAATGAAAAATGTCCTGGCTATTAACTGGCGATATGAGATAGGCTTACAAAATGTATTTCTAAACATTGATCGATTTTGCTCATTTTTAGTCAATTTTTCCATAATCACAGGCTGTATTAATGTCAAATTTAGTTCTTTTTGTAAAAATTCTCCATAACGGGTCAGCATAAATTAGTCTCAAGATGTAAAATGAAAGATATATATAAAAATTGAGCTTATTTTCAAAAATTTCAATAAATTGGACCTAACTTTAAAATGAAATATTTTCAAGATATTTTTCACTCTAAAAAAATTAAAATATTTCTTACATTTTTCTATGTAACTCAACGAGCTTTTCATCTCGAAAAAAGAAAAAAATTACATTTTTAAATTGGCGATATCCAACTGAAGACAAATGTTTCTACTGTTAATTCTTTTTGAAGGAATGTTTTCTGGACAACTTACTGTTTCCATTAAACAATTTTAACGTCAATTTTTAAGTCGGCACATATTCAAAGGTACGTCTCAATAACGATTGAATTATCATGCAATAGCATTTATTATATAAAAACCATGTACAAAATTTAACAAAAAAACAGTATAAAAAACCCAACAAAAACTATCTTGGAATGACATTTATTCGACATGTTGATGTTGTCTATGCAGATCTTGACGAAGGGCATTTCTATTTGTTTTCGCATTTAGATATTGTTTAAATGCTAAAAATTTTGCCCATAGTAATTGCAAATATTGTCGAAAGTTTTTCTTCTCTTTTTTCTCAACGTATGAAAATTGTTTTGTTGTTAGATTATGAAATCCACCGAATGCTAGAGCAACAGCTGTACAGCCCAAACAAATAACATTAAATGGCATACTAAAATCAGGAGTAGGTAAGTTAACTAATAAACTTTCTGAATATATACGAACAAATAACGATGAAGAAAATGATTCAGTATTACTCGATAGTAACAAACTAAAAGTAATAAAATAGTTATTTTGAACAAAGACTTTAACAGAAGAAAGACTAATTTACCTTTCATTAAGTGAAAATGATTGTAATTGTCTTAGGATTGGTTGTTGTTTGTCTAATTTTGGTAGTATCGTTGAAATGACAGCTGCTGGTATGTAAAAACCATGATTTGGATCGGGAGGAAATTCGTTCCATTTTAAAAATGTCATTTCATATTCAAAACTTATTTCAACTGAAGGCACATCGGCAGGAATTGTTATAAACATTTCAATTTGATATGGTCGTTCACGATCTTTGCCTGGTATGTACGATAAACGATCTAACGGTCAAGTCAGAAATGATGAAATGTATGTAGCAGAATAAAAAACTAAACATACCTGGTTTAATATTAGTACCATTCTCCATAATGATCTTGAGTGTATGTAAAAATACTCTAAAATACCAAGGAATTTGTTCAAAATACAATAGAGTAGTTGTAGTATCAGGTGTATTATAAATTTGAGTTTTGATACCACCATTACGAGCACCGTATCCTAAATGAAAACTATTTTTAAGAACTTTTTTTCTTATTATCTTATCATCTTTGACTACCTGTCGTATAACGATGTACATATAAATATGGTAAAGTATTGTTCTCTTTATTATTCTCCGCTAGCAGCCAATAATCTGTACTTGGTCTGTCGTGTTTACATGACAATGAAAATGTTCCATGACTTGTTTGCTTCATATTATTCACATCATAAACAACTAATGTGCGACCATTTGATTCGATTGTATAATCAGCTAACGGACTTAATGTCATATGATACAACTAAACATCAAATAGAAGCATTTATTGTTTAATTGATAATCAGTCTTCTGAAATATCTAAAGGAAAGTCTTAATAAACATGAAGTAGTATGAGATAGTATTTATTCTATAACGCTCATGAGCAGAGGATTTTAGTACTTTAAGTCAGGATAAAGTTATAAAAGTAAACTCACAAGAAACATTATCGACGTACCTTTGATAACTCTAGATCGATATAAACATTGGTGATATCACTTAATGGACAAGCACCATTCATATTTTGTCCAAATATTGATCGTAAACTCCATTCTAGAGTAGAAAACTAAAAATTTTTCTCTTCATTCGAGAGGATTAGACTGTTCTCAAAATACCATTTTGTCCTGGTTTAGCAAACGTATCAACAACAACACCTAGGCCAAGAGATAATTCGAGCCGACTTGACAAACAATTACTATCCTGAAGAACAAGAGAGTAGATGAAGCTATTGTCTTAGGTTGTTCAACACGACACTTACTGCACATATTTGTCTGAAATCCATTCGTAATGAATGATAATTAATGTCATATAATTTTGGTGAATTGACAAGCAGACTGCTGAGACCTTTCATTGTATTGCACGGTAGAAATTTTTTCCATGGTGTTAAATTTTCTACAAAGAACGAGCTAAACTGCAGAAACAATGGCAATGATTGCCCTTAACTAACCCGTACAAACAATTTCTCTAGGCAACACGGCATAACGTAGATTAGAATTGTTAAATTCTTGTGACTGTGAAGTTACGGTCGATTGTGGACGAAACGAATATTTTGGTGAGCTTGAACTCGTAGATGTATCAACAAAATTCAATGAAGCACATAACAGACCTCCCAACTCGTGAACAAATGATTTCCATAAATCATCAACACTAAACAAAGAAAGAGTTCAAATTACATACCTGATGATTAAATTCAAGTATGATAGTAATACTAGCAGAGTAGTACTAGTGTAATATAGTAATAGTGTGAGAGTAATACTAGTAATAAAAGTAATTGAACAAATCCTTTTCGAACCCGAATTAACAAAGATTTTCAGAACACGTGACACCGCACTGTTGGTCTACAACGCTGCTTGAAATTTGTTAGTTGTGGGTTAATATCAACGTACTATTTAATTTCAAACACACGTCTGTAAGTGAGACATCGTGCGAGGCTTACAACCTTTATCTTCAACTATCTCTTACGCAAGATGAGCTGACACTTCAAAGCATGTATCAGAAATCCGCTTCAACATAAGTTCACATGACAACGCACAGAGATAGTATTCTACGTGAGATGTCTGTTATGTTTCAATCAAACATCAGTTTCCCTCATCGGCGGCCTCTTCATGTGCATCGTCTCCAGTTTAACATCACCACTTGCTTTTCTCAAACTAAAATCAGTCAACAGCAGACCTCTCGTTCTAGCACATGTACTCAGATAAAGGGTGGGCCAGAAGTCCTGACTCGATTTGAACAATAAATTTTTCTATAGTGAAACAAGTGGTTGTAAATTTGCCTCTATGAAGAAAAGATGCAGTAAAAAACGCTCTACAAAATGACGATTGATTGACCCCGTTAGCTCATCTAGTAAGAAACTTATAGGCTTAGAAATGTGC